CGCAGCTCTATTCTGGAAAAGGGGGCGGGGAGCAGCAGCTCATTTGCATTTAAAGAGACAGGCCCGAAAAACAGCGCGTTTCTACTTCCACTCAAAATAGGCATTTTCAAAATGATATAATAAATTATCTGTGGGGTATTTTGAGCTGAAACTTTACAGACACAGTCTGGGGACACCAGAGACTTGTATTACATATTGTAAAAAGGGGCATAATATGCCTCCTTTAAACTACATGTGAGAGAAATCATTGCTTCATATCTTGTAGAACTGATTCCTGTGCTTAAGGCATGTTGTATTCGAGCATGACCCTGCATCTTAAAATCTGTTCTAATGAGCAATACTAAAATGGGTTAATAATCTAATTCCTCTGCTCATAATCTCATTATGTGATTTATGACCCAACAGAAACTACTGACATTTACGGGTCAGCACAAATGGTCTGAAAACAATCTGAAACAATCTTCAAATTGACAGTGGAAATATTCATAAACAACATCATGTTTTCCTCATCATGTGCACAGACATCCAGCACACATAAACAAACACACTCACCAGTTTTCATTCAATGTATCATTTATCCCTGACCCTGATGTTTTCATTCTCTTTTATTATGCTCCTATATTTCTCTCTCTTTTGCTGTAGTACTCTTAGGTATGAATCATTCCCTCTCTCTGCATTAATACTGTCATTTAACTTCTCACCGTTTTAAATGTCAGCCACTACAGAGATTATCACAGGGCTGCACATACACACAGCTATTTTTATCATGATGGGAACCTTCCATTGATTTTTATTTTTTTTAGACTAAGCTAATGATATTTTCTATGCCCTATGATCACACAAATCTTTCTGGATTTCAAAATTTCAGTCATATTTCATTTTGTGTATTATTCATCTTCTAAACAAATTTCATGGTCACAGTGTTAATAAAGATGCCATTTACTACTACAGTATGTAGAGACTCATTTTCAAATAGGTCAAGTTATTCAGATGAGTATGCAAGCAGTGGCAACACTCACGATAGAATAGCGGACAGAGAGAAGAGTTCTGCCGTCAGGTAGGCCAGGTAAACCAACAGGAAGACGAACAGTGGCTCTATGATGCGCACTTTCTTCGTAAAACGAGTGACAAAGGCCAGAATAACAGCAAAGATGAGACCAACCAAAGTCCCTCCAATACTGACAATGAGGAAGGATGCTGGAATAATTGCATGCAAGATAGAGAATAAAAAATAATTAACTCATTTAAATATTACACTCTAAAATAAACTATTTATACATTTTGTACTTACCAATTCCTTTAAAATAGTCTGCAGTGTAAACATTTCCTGGTCCCACTTCCACAAAGGATATGTACACTTTGTATAAGACCTGTTGAGAAAATTAAAAATGTATCCCTGCAACATATATATATATATATATATATATATATATAGTACCTATACCTTCAATTAATATCATTCAAAAATGTGGGGCCAGTAAGATTTTTTTAATGTTTTTGAAATCTCATATGCTCACCAAGGTTGCATATATATGATCAAAATACAGTAAAAACAGTAATATTATTAAATATTATTATAATCAAAAGTCATTATTTTCTATCATAATCTATTTGAAAATGTAATTTATTCCTGTGAAGGTAAAACTGAATTTTCAGTAGCCATTACTCATCTTCAGTGTCACACGATCCTACAGAAATCATTCTAATATGCTGATTAGCTGCTCAAGAAACATTTCTTATTATTATCAATGTTGGGTTAGGTTAGGTAACAGTTAACAGTTGTGCTGCTTATTTGTTTGGAAACGTATTCTTTTTCAGGATTCTTTGATGGATAGATAGGTCAAAGTACTGCCAGTTTTGATCATTTTGTGTGTCCTTACTAAATAAAAGTACTCATTTTGGTCACTCTTTATTTTGGGAACCAATTCTAACTATTAACTACGACTTTTGCCTCAGTAAACTCCTAATTTGGTGCTTATTAATAGTTAGTAAAGTAGTTGCTACGTTTAGGTGTGGGGTCGGAATAAGGGTTCTAAAATATGGTCATGCAGAATAAGGCATTAACATGTGCTTTTTAAGTACTAACAAACAGACAATATGCTAGTAATATTAGCAACTAGTTAGTAGTGAGAACTGGTCCCTAAATCATAATCTACTGACCCCAAACTTTTAAACTGTAGTCAAGGTGAGTTAGTCGTTTAGTTGCAGAGCACTAATTCCTAGTATGGGTCACCATACTTGGCCACATGTCACTTCACTTCACTTCACTTAAAAATGACATTCAAAGCTAATGGAGAAAGTGAATGGACAGACTGAAAGTGCATCTGAAATTGTTCCTTTACAACTAATCTTCTAAAAAGGAGACTTAAAACAGAAATCTTGTAACGACCCAGCTCAAAGAGAAGTGACATTAAGAGACATCTTCAGTGTCACACGATCCTACAGAAATCATTCTAATATGCTAATAAAGGAGACTTAAAACAGAAATCTTGTAACGACCCAGCTCAAAGAGAAGTGACATTAAGAGAACAAAAGATAATAATAAGATTAAGAAAATGAAAAATGTCATTTATTCACAAAATACATTCATTTATGTATGACTTTCTGTCTTCTGCAAGACACAAAAGAAGAAGATATTTTGAAGAATGTAGGTAATACAAACAAATGGTGTCAACTGGCTTCCATTGTATATGACAAAAATAAATAAATAAGAAATAAAAATATCTTCTTCTATATCCCACAGAAGAAAAAAAAGTCATACAGTTTTGGGAAAATGGTGAACTATCCCTTAAGGGATAAAAATAAAATGTCAATATTGATTTTAGACCATTCTGTGTGGAAAAATGTTGAACGTGCATAACAGTCTCTGTCTCAGTCCAATCTAGTAATTCATAATCTTTGATTCACCCTTTGTGTTGGATGCATTTTTACAAAAATCACAACTGGCATAGAGCAACTGAAAACTATTCCACTACATGATTCAAGACTTTTACAGAGTAAGACTGGAACTATTGTTCCTCACATAATCTGTGAATTCAAGCGAAAACGTGCAGACCCAGACAAATGGCATTCTGGAATGGATGGATACGTCCATGCTTTCACATTCCAGATGGAGTGAGGTTGATGTTGTGGGGTAGATTAAAGTGAAGTAGATGGGGAATGTGTTTAGTGATAGTGATGAGTCACTGGGCCTTATCCTCTACACATGGCTCAACAAGTGTAATAGCTACAAAACTAAGGGGACAGACTCGCATACAGTCAACACATACCCAAGACTGCACATGCAAGAGCTTGATATTCTGCTGATTTGGAACCAAATTTAATCCCAACAACAATATATAGTATAAACAAGTAACACTAAATCAATTTATCTCTAACCAGTAGCTACTGTATGTCCCCAGAGTCATTATATAAAAAATACAAAGAAAAGAGGGAAATGGTTTGGATAATTCAGTGGCAATGTCTTAGCCTAAGTCATTTACTATCGATTGGCTCCTCCAGAGCAAGTAAATGACTTTTGGTTATGTTTTATAACATAATCATGTCAGCACTACAGCAGAGGGTTCTGGTGTAATGTTACCATAACAACAGAGATGCGACTGAACAGAGAGAACACAGAAGGATGCAGAGATTTTCCTCATCTCCCTTGAGCTCTCCTTGAGCCTTTTAAATCCCTAAACTAAGCTTAACTCTCATATGTCCACAAGAAAATAAGTAGGTCTACATATGTCAAAACACTCCAATATCAATTATGCCAGAATTGAGTGTCTATGGTACTACAGATCTTTTTTTTATTTAAATAAGAAATTAATACTTTTAATAAACAATAATGTACAGTATGTGGAAAATAATGTGTTTTTTTAACCTTAAACCGCATAAACACATTTCATTACACCAAATACACAAAATAATGTTCTTTTTAGCAGCATCATATGACCCCTTTAACAGGTTAAGTTTAGTTGTTGGTAGGGCTGCACGATTTGAAGTAAAATGCGCATGAAGCAAACTGTCAAAAACTACGTAGATGCTTGTTAAATCTCTGATAGTCCTTAATCGAAATAATCGCATCTCTTGCGATTTGAAAATCGCACCCTTTCAAATCGCGATTTCGGTTTACAAACGATTAATCGTGCAGGCCTATCTGGTAGGATGCATTAAATTTATCAAAAGTGACACTAAAGCCTTTTTATTGATACAAAATATATTTCAAATAAATTCTGTTCTTTTGAACTTTCTACACATCAAAGCATACTGAAAAAAAACTATTATGGTTTACATTAAAATATTAATATAACTGTTTTCAACATTGATAATAATAGGAAGCAGCAAATCAGCATCTTTAAATAATTTCTGAAGGATCATGTGACACTGAAGACTGGAGTAATGATTTTGGTGAGCATAAGAGACTTTACAAAAAAAAAAAAAAAAAAAACCTTACTGACCTCAAACTTTTGAATGGTAGTGTATTTTCTCACTCACAGTGCTGACCATTATTCTCTGTGTTAGTCACATTGCCCACGCTTACATAGTAAAAGCAATTTGTTTATAAATTAGGGATTGAAGCAAACAAGAGTCATACAGGGGAAGATGATTTAAAAAATGTCCTGACTCACCACAGTGACAGCATCATTGAGCAGTGACTCGCCAAAGACAATGATGAAGAGTGTCTCATTCACATGGACTTCTTCAAACACAGCGAGCACTGCTACAGGATCCACAGCCGAGATCAGAGCTCCAAACAACAAGAAATCCATCAAACCTGCATTTACTTTTTCATCTGCACACACACAACACACAAGCTGCAGTCAATATTTACAGCCAAATTGACTGTAGTACAGCCCTAATGGTGTGGTGTAGTAGCTAAAGATCTGTAAAAGTAGGTTCAAACATTGTAAGCTGGGAGTCACCATAGTGCACTTGAGCAAAGAACTTTAACCCATGATGCTCCAGTGGGACTGTCCTTGTGATAAGAGTATTGTATGTTGCCTTGGATGAAAGTAACAGCTAAATGGCTATTTACTAGCTTTCTTAGATCTAAAACATCCTTACACCCCATCTAAATCATATGGGATACTTGGATCAACAATTATAAGGCAGTGATGACTTGTATTGAACAAAAATTTGCATAACTCACAATATGAAACATGATTTGAAGAGCTATGTTCGAAGCAGTTGGAAAAATGTAAAAACATTTATATATAATCACACTATGTGACCTGTGATGACAACTGAATTATTAATGATTCCATCCAATAAACATACTGTATCGCCTGTATTTAGACTTATGAACTAGATAACTCTGGTGATAATTATAATTAATAAATTGAATCCTTTATTGAACATTCCCATCTTTTATCATATTGCAGTTGTCAGTATTTTATAAACAACATAAGCAATTGAAGTAAAATCAAAGTAACAAGGACTTTAATAGCTTATTTAATAGCTTACAGTACAGTGATTTGCAACCGGGGTCAGGGTCCACTAGGGGGGAGTCAATTAACTTCTGAAAAGTTTAAGAAACTTAATTAAGATGTAAAAAAAAACAACATAAAAATCAACGTATAAACATAATATTTCTTATTTAAATTTGTCCCTTCAGCAACTGAGGAACATACAGTTCTTGAAATGTCTGGAATCAAAAAATTATTCAAGGTTTATTATTATGCTTACCCACTCATAATTTCTCTTAATAAAAAGTTCCAAAACAAGCGTACATGGCTAAAGCACTGTATGATCTATGATGAAGTGTCATATTTGGTTCCATTAGTTTGAACAGACATCCCATAATAGCTCACCTATGGCCCCTGCCATCTTGACTCCATAGAGACAGAATCCAGTGCAGAAGGCGTTCCACAACGTGCCTACCACAGCATACATCAAAATGGCACCCAGGTTGTCGAAAAAGAGCCGTGCTGGCATAAAATACCCAGCATCCCCCACTATAGTTGGCAGGAGAAAGAGGAAAAAAAGTCCTGGGTCCAGTTGGTACGGCTGCTTCTTGCTGGCGATAAGAACCACTGCACCCAGAACCAGACCCAGCAGAATCAGCATACAGCTCTCTGGGACCGCTGTGGTGAAACGCTGAGAGAAGTGGAATACTGAAGATTGCCAAGTGGAGAAAAGAGAGAACAGGGGGGAAAAAAGTTCAAATGGATTGAGATGAGAGATATGTTGCCATTCAGTGTCATAAAAAGTGTAAATGTAGTGATGTGCTTTATTGAAATGGCACTCTAGCTGTAAAATTTCATCCCTTTTAAACAGACTTAAATTGCATTTTGACCATAATGTACATACAGTACACTGCATTCATGTACTTTTAGCCATTTATATTTAAATTATTAAATCACAAGGAAAAAATCTTAATATTATTATCTTTTTGTTTAAAATAATAATCATTCCTAAACTTTTTTTTTTTTTTTTTTTACAAAATCATGTATATGCATTTTAATAACAGATAGTAGTAGATATTATAGATACTTGGTGCATCTTTACTTTCATCAAAGTTTACTGCAGCATGTGCCAATTTTATAAACATGGTAACACCCATAAAAGAATGCATAATGCATAAAAATGCATTAAAATGCAAAAGAATGCATGAAAGAATAAAACAAACCAAACAACATGCAAAAAGCTAAAAGTTTAATGGCCCACAGCAGCCAATAAGCCTCATTTAAAGAGTAGTTTATAAGTTGCAGCTGCTGTAATTCCATGCCATGGTTTCAAATGAACTGTTCCTCAACACCACTCTAACGTACAGTGCCTTACAGTGACAAATAGTGAGTCACAGAGGGACAGTAAGTGTGCCAGTATGCTGTCACAAAAACACCATTCTCATACTAAAGCTTTAAGAAAGGAGTATTGAACAAGGTGACTGCAGATACTCACTTCATCAGTAAAATGTATGACATTACTCCACGGAGCAGCTGCAAGAATTCATCACAATATTTCCAATTGGAAATTCAGTATGACCAGTTTCCATCTACAAGTCAGACATATCAAATGACTGTACAAGTGATTATCTGGAGGGGAACAATCACACTGCAATAACTGCAATAACTCAGCTTCCTGGTTCCTCCTCCTCATCATGAATTAGGAGTCGGCTGGATCAAGACACTGAAACATGAGGTGTAAGCCTATACTTCACATAAGCCACAAGTAGTGTTTCTATGGACAAAAGGGAATTTAATAGATTATAAGAAGTTTGGCAATATAAAGAATGGGGATATTTTACTGAAAATGATGTTGATTTATAATGCTTATTAAAAAACGAGCAAGGCACACACTGACCTCCATTTAGACAAGTCCTCATGAAATGCCAGTGCGTAAAATCACAACACATTACAGCATGATGAGAGATTCTAATGCCACTAAATTATTAATGTTTACACGTTCTGAGTGATTCTGTGGAGGAGGGAAAACAGTGCACACCTCTGCCAAGAAACATAACAATCACCGCTCACCATGAGTCATTCACACAACGACAGAAAAACACTGACATACAACCAAAAAAAGCATAGACATCTGCACAAACACATGCATGTGTGCACACACAAACACTAAATAACAAAAACAACAAAATAAAAAAATTAAATATAATTCTGAAAATATCCTGATACATATGCCTAGATATAGACATAAAATACACAAATATGTTTTAATGAGAGTGCTACAGATTCATTCCATTCATACTGACACCTGTGTGCCACTCCAACCTCTCTCTATTGTAATAGAAAAGACCTTCATGTGTGAACATGACTCTTGCTACTGCTAAATCCTTTCTATCACAAGATCTCCTGCTTTTAAATTATTACTTGTCATAAGCTTTTAATAATCGGTCCACATATAATTACAGCCATAATGAAAGAATATTAAATCCAATTAAACTGACGCCCTTCATTTTCAGGGACAGGCAGAGAGAACTTTTGCACAGCTAATTAGGAATATAGAGTGGAGTGCCGTCCCATTGCGATTATCTTTATTAACATTAGAACAGGTCTATGATTAAATTAAAGTGTGTGTATAATGGGATGGTGCTCAAACTCAACAACTGAAAGTACGGATGTTTGAGAAGAAGAGCGTGTTCTGAATGCAGTACACTGATAAATGAGATTGTGAAAGTTACAGGACAGATCATAATCATCACTACATATGCATATGGATTTCATTGTTTTTTGTCTGTAGCTGAACTAATGAGCAGACATTGTCAATAACTGACACTGGCAACAGCTAAATTAAAGTTTTTTTTCATATTAATAACTGTCATTCAGTACTAATATATCATGAAATTGAATAAATGTTACAGTAAACAAAGATATAATTTTACAAAGGGTTTCTATTTCAAATAAATGCTGTTCTTTTGAACTTCAATCGAAGAATCATGAAAAACCAGTTTCCCAAAAAAATATTAAGCAGCACAGCTGTTTTCAGCATTGTTAATAAGAAATGTTTCTTGAGCTCAATACGTTAAAATTATTTCTGAAGGACCATGTGACTCTGAAGACTGGAGTAATGGCTGCTGAAAATTCAGCTTTGCCAACATAGGTATAAATTACATTTTTAAAAATATTAAAATAGTTATTTAAATGTTAATATTATTTCACATTATTATTTTTTGTGTGTTTTTGAGCAAATAAATGCACCATTGGTGAGCATAAGAGACTTCATTAAAACACTGGGGAAAAAAAAAACATATCCAAAACTTTTGAATGAGGCCCTCCATAAATGACACTTGCCAATGTCACAATAAGGGGTAAATCCGTGCTGACGCCCATAATCTGTGAGACAAAAAGCATGCGTGTCTAATAACACCATAGTCATCTTGATAATGCACTGATGCAATGTTATGGCAGTACTATAATGATACAATAGTTTAAAGGTGCTGTATGTAATTTTCTGACTGTACTAAAACATAAAAACACTATAATACATTACTGGATAATCAGGAAATATGCTAATTTCACATACTTCATATACTTGTTTCTCTGAAAAAACAATACTACAGCCAGTTATTCTACTTTGAAAATGGGCATTCCGTGTCAGAATGTCTGTTTTTGTTTTGGTCTGTGTGATTCTGCCCATTGACCCAACCATTTCAACTGCTAGCTGTGACTATTACATACTGCATCTTTAAGGATAATATAAAAACGCTTTGCACACGGGGCAGCTGTGTCCACTGCCTTTTGTGTTTTTGTCACCTATGTAGGTGACATTCAGTACTGTTTTCTTAACACCTGTTCAGGCTGTACTCAGCACTTGAAGTCAGCTGAACACTGTGCGTTTTCTTAACACCTGTTCAGGCTGTACTCAGCACTTGAAGTCAGCTTGAAGTCAGCAGGTGCTTCAGATAGTGCTACTTTCTCCAGATGCAAGACAAATATTCAGAGTGAATTTTGATGGTGTTACTGTGGCAATCGAATCATGGAGAAACAGATGATTGAGCTACCAGAACTAAATGATCTGATATAACTGCATGTCTTAGCCAAAAATACAAGCTGGAGGGACGCCTGAGAATCACCCACACATGCAAATACAGGAGGCAGTGCATTTTGTGTATGTACTTTATATGCGTGTATTTTCATGAATAAACTACACAATGTGTACCACAAAATGTACAGCGAGTTCTGTTAACCATTTTGTTCTCAAATTCTACATTCTTCAGTTCATTAATCTGTAAGTTGATTGTACTGTTATGGACAACATCACGTCATGTTTTTCAAGTCTAATTGAATATTCTCTTGTGTTCTTAAGATATTTTTATAATGTACTTTTGGCACTGATCACTGTGAGCTCTCACTTTACTACTTACTACAGCACAACTGAACACAACAGACCTCTCACATAAAGAAATCATTCTTATGAGTTGGATCTTTTCAATGAATCAGCTGAACCAGTTTACAAAAGAGGTCAAACATAATTCACGAATAGCACAAAATCAAACGGTTCTCCAGTGAACTCACAAACAGAGAATCATCTCATTTGTAATGAGCCGAGAAAAGATGATTGTAGAAGCATTTGACCGATGAATTTTGGTGAAGAGATGCTAATCAAATAGCAGAAATGTTGCAAATTAAAAGTACTGGAAATAACTTGATGGTATTATTCATACACATGCAAAACAGTGCTTGTTTTAAAGGGACAGTTCACCCAAAAATAAAGATTATATTTTGAAGAATGCTGGGAACCAAACAGTTGGTGGTCTCCATTGACTTCCATGTATGGAAGAATAAAAAAATATATAATATAGTCGAAATATCTTCTTTTGTGTTCAAAAGGCTGCAAAGTCTGCAACAAACTGAAATGGGAAAATATGTAGCTACTGCGACATATACATCAGTACAGTGGTGTAGTGGTGCCTGGAGAAGTGGGTATACTCTTAATTTATGCCCCCATTTTTTTAAGCGGCCTAGCAACGGCCTGTGTTATAAACAGTGACATGTAAGAGTTAAGACTAGTCTTGCATATTTAGTTCACACCAAAATGGGCCAATAGTATTTCCACATTTTCACTTTCTGTAACTTCTGCTACTCGACTTACTGGAGTAAGGATCATTATGAAATTAATATTAGCCACAAAAGGTGCAGATTTTGCAATAAATAATTAAAATGTAAAAAATTACATAGACTGCAACAATTAACATTTCGTCAGAAACTCTAGTAGACAAGCTATTTTGTTTAGTTATCTGTAG